CAAAAGCGGCGAGCGAGGGAGCGAGCGAGCGAGCGAGGGAGCGAGCGAGGGAGCGAGCGGTCCAGTTAGTTGCCGGGCCCCGCTGAGAACGGACGACTGACCCAAGTGCGGGAGGAATGTGGAATTTCCACCACCACCACGAGCTCAGGGCGCCCCACGGAGATGAAATGCCGCTGCGCCCGTGCATGATTAAGCGGGGAGACGCTTTGCCCGGACTTTGCAAGTTATTTGAAAGCTCAATCAATGCAACGACGTTTGAAATCTCTCCTTGACTTTAAGGATTTTTTTTTTCTCTCACGAGGACCCTGAGAGGTGTATAAATCATGGCTGGGTAATCGTGGCGTTTTTGCTATTTTTATATCTTTTTCTAATTCCTCATCGAGTTTCTCTTTCACGAGGGGTCCTGCCTTGAGGTGTTTTGACAAAATTGCTTTCGGCGTTTCTTTCATGTGGGAGAAAACCCCACGCCTACGAGGGGATAACTCACAAATTGGTTCCACAACCCCACCTCCTGGCCTCCTCACAGCCCAGTCGGTTTAGAGGTCACAGACACGTGTGATGATGACCCACCAACCCTTTACCTCCAAAAGCAATGGATTACAAAACGAAAAATCTCTGCGTGAATCAAAAATAAAATAAAGATTCCAACAGATCGTCTCTCTATCCAAACAATGCTCATCTGCATCGGCAGTCTCAACCAGAGCTGAAACTCCCACAATGCTATGGCTGGAGCCAGTGTCCCCAGATAGGCCGCTCGTGAAGACACGGATCAAGAGAAATGCAGAAATACGCGCAAACACACAAACACCACACGCGGAGGGCCATGTGGTGTGACCCCCCCCCCCCCCCAGTGTCGCGACTGCTGCTGGGCTTTTATTGCGACGTTAATGTGCGTCCAGAGACCCTGCTAAGGACACAACAACTACCCTCGGCTCCTAACACAACAACTTGAATGAGTTTCCCACCTGTCCCTGAGTTTACAGCAGCCCTCCGCTCCCAACGCCTCTTCAGTAACACCCATTGCACATTTGACTGCATCGTGCCCTCAGACCCGTTCTTGTTCGATAGCCAATAAACCGGCCCTCCCTGGACTTTAACAAACTGCTATGTTTGTATACACATTTAAAACCTTAACCTAATCCGTACAACTCTTTAACAAACACGTATTAATGTGCAAACGTTTACACTTCATTGGAGGTGTACTTGTTTACACTTAAGCCTTTGGGAATGAAACTTCTGAGGCATCAGCCACCTGCAAAGCCTTAGCACTTGCACAGACGTTTATATTTGGGTGGCTCAACCCCAAAGCTTAAATCATATGACTGCACCAGCAGCAATCATTTAAATAATTACAACTCTTCAAATTACATACAGTACCATTCATCGGAACATAAATAGTCTGCAAAACTTAGAAATGTCTTCCCTGAGGACATAAACATGGGGAAGTGCTCATTTCCTTTGGAAGCCCTCAAACAGTGGTGTAAATTCCACATTCCCATGGCGGGGGCCAGTCTTTCCTTCGGAAAATAAACTATTTCAATAACCACTATTTAGTCCCCACAAAGTGATACTACTTTTAGTCACCCCCAGGATGATGATGGATGATGATGTTCGTTACATTCTCACCGTGAGCCGGGTGCTGCGATGACGGTGCCAGCCCTGCCTGACTCCATAATGAGTTTTTTAGTGTGGTGTCCTTCCCTGCACCTCCGATTAGCACGGTTGGCTACGTACGGTGCAGAAGAAGTTCAACACACGCGGAACTCGACTTATACTCAAAGTCACACTTCTCTTGCCCATAATCGACACACAAATGGGAGCGAAGACCGGCCGACCAAGATTCGCGAAGCACTCAGTCGGCATTGAATGCCGATACTTCCACATGATGTTTCTGTTGTTGCACAGAGTGAACTCCTGCATTGCCGCCAAGTGGCTTGCCATTAAGATAATTGCACCGTGCAAGGCTGAGACCACATTAATTTAGCCGGCACGGTCATAGCATGCCCCGCCTAGTACACAGTTAAACCACGGCAACAGAATTACTGCAGCTGAATGTGTATAATACGATGTTCGAGCACATGGGTGCATTAACTGCCTTGAATACAAATGTATGTCAAGACGACACACAATAGCTAACTGTAGTAAAACAGTGAAGAAGTGATGCAAGTCAGAGCAAGTGCAGGAAGTTGACATATATCATACACGTGATCAGGATGAATGGTGACCTTCTGATTGACGCAGAACAGATTCGTATCAGTGCACTTCGTTCTGTACCTGGTAGCTGACAACCCAATGGGGATACATTCTTTAATGACCACGACTTACGATCCCTGCCATTGATGTCTTTCCCGTTGATTCGATCGCTTTGCGATGTTTGGGAGATTGGGTGACCTAAGGGCCCCTCTCCCCACTCGCAGCACATTACCACAGCACCACAGCACCACTGGGCCGCGGTGGCGAGATGTTAACTCCCTCGCCTGGTATGCAGGAGGTCGTTGGTTCGATCCAGACCCTGACGCCTGCTGTATATTTGGAGTTTGCATGTTCTCCCCGTGGTTGCGTAGAGTTTTCTCCAGGTCCTCCGTTTTTTCCCTCCACATTTATAAACACGCGTTTAGATGATTTGGCTGCTTCTATAAATCCCCACATATGTAAAGCCACTTTGTTGAGCTATCATTCGTGGCCAAGTCGCCTCTAAAAAAGAGCTATATAGCTGAGTGGGCTTCACCTGCTAGATATAATCGTTTCGTTTATTGACATTACCTATTCAAAGCAGCAATTGCAAAGCCTCTATTGGCAGCGGCCCTGATGTCCCGTTCATACAGTGCCCCACGTGCATCTGTTGCTGCTGCTGCTGCGCATTAAATATTTACTGAGCGTCACCGAGCGGGTTTAATGACGCAATACTCCGAGCTTACAAAACAAAACTCACAACGTACAAATTACAGGCGAGTCAAAAGTCAACGTCTCCCCCCCCACCCCTCCAATGGCACGGTAAGCCAAATTTATCGACGTAACTTTACGCTTTCGGTGAATTCGCCAGACAGAGCAAGGCACACCGTGAAACACTATTAATGCCGAATGTGTCAAAATATTTAAAGTTACGTCAAAGACGATTAAACAAGGCGATTACTGAGGCTGGATAGGGGTGGTTTTTAGTCCCACTTCTAGAACCGTCCGCAAATTGTCTTTGGCTCTTACGAGTACTGGGCATTTAAACCGACTCTTTAAAAATCAAAACTTGTATCTCTTTGCTCAAACGAGCGAGAGGTGGGAAGGGGGGGGGGGGGTGTCCATCTCTGTCAGTGGCCATGAACCAGGGGTCAAAATTCCACATTCATATGAAAGGGCCCTGTATCTCCACAGGATAAGTGCTTGTTGACTTGCCACAAAATCGATGTTCGTTTTGTCAGCCCCAAAGTGATGATGGGCTTCAGGAAACTGTGCTTACACTCGACTCTTAAACGCAGTACTTGCACAATAACTTTATGCGACGATTATTGCAGTTTTACCACGTGCTCCTGTTCTACTGCACGCCGAGTCTCCATTGTAATTATGATGGCAGCACCAAGGTCACATGTTCTTAACTGTTAGGCTGTTTTCATATTTTTTTAAAGCACTTCACGAGAAGAATGTACAATTGCATTTTTTGTTCAAAGCTGCGTTAACAAACTGGGAGGTACATCTGGACATCTTTGAGCTCCCACTGGTCACCAGCGAGGAGCTGTGTACACAGTTGTAGAACTCCCACACTCACAGCGGCTGTGGTCGCCTTGCTGCCACCCAACATTGGAAGGCGGTGGAGTAACACATCTCCCTTCCATGGTCGACAAATATCGATTACATCGCTTTAAATTATATTAAAAACAAAGAGGTGGCCGGATAGGTATACTCCTGCGATTCACGTGTCAGTGCAATTAGACAGCAATCGTGAGAGCCTGGGTTCAAATCCCATTCCAAGCTCAAAGCAGGTTCTCATGAACCGAGAGTCTGGTGGTCTAAGCCCAGTCTGAGGCATTCGTAATTCATTCCAGACCCCCAATACAAATGATGAAGCCTCATTCTTTAATCACCAAAAATTCTTATCGTGGGTCTTTGTCCAACATCCTTCAGTGGTATCCCTCACACGGCCACTTAAGAATGGGCCGTGTTGTTGATGAAATCCTGTCCACTCGCCTCTCCCTGCGACTAGGGGAACACACGGTGGGTGTGGTGGGCGCTCTCCAACGAGACAAGCCAGCTCTTCAAACTAATCTTCAGCAGCACCGGGGGCCGACGGGGGGAGGAGGGGGGCAGCGGAGGGGAATGTGACGTTCATTTTAAACAAACGTCAGACCGGCCAATTTAAACGGCGACGTTTTCCAAAACAGCGCGCGGGGCCCTCTCCGCGCACAGGCGCACGCAACTTGTCATCATTTCCCTCCGTCCGAGATACTCAACGATAGCAACAACATAGCGGCTCCTGGCCTCGAAGCATTCCCCCACCTCCACCCCCCCAACTAATGCAGCCTCGACCCATGTTGTCAGAGGATTTGGCTCGACCATCGCTATATAGCAAGTTCAATTCCCGGTTGATGTCGCCTCTCGCGACTGATAAAATTATCAGGAGCACCGCTTTTCAAAAGACACGGAAGTCTGTTCCCACGTGGATTGGTCCCCTAGCACGAAGATGTCGAATTGCCACCGCTGGCTCAGTGGAGAAGGGCACCATGGGGGCTGGCCACATCGTGGCCTTCCTCTCGCTCTCGCACTTTCGTCAACGCACCCAGCTCGTCACAGAAACGAACCGCTGTTGACACTGCCCCAGGTCATCGCAGCTCCGTGCCAGAGACGCGAGACCACACATCACCCCGGGCCACAACTCCTCCACGCTTGCGGGGCCGCCGAGAGCTCCCCGTGCAAACAAGCGGTAGCGCTGCAGTGGTGTGCGGTGGGTACACGGTCACACAGCAACACGCAGACGAGTGTTAATGGATGTCTGGTGGGGGAAATGCAAATACCTTGTGTAGTCGCCTTTAGCCTCCTGCAAAACAATAAACACAGCAAAGGGTTTTAATCATCAACATAGCAAACATGCAAACACACACGGCAAACACGCACACATACAGCAATCGCGCACGAGACAACGCGCATCAAGATCTGGGTACAGTGGCACGCCTTCAATCCCCCCCGCCCCCGAACACTGGAGGCAGGGTTGGTGGATCACGCAGAGATCAACACGTGTGCTGCATGAACTCTCGACCTGCCGAGTCGCCACAAATCCAAGACTTGAGCCCAAAACGTCCCAGGAGCTTCGAGCCGAGCGCCCCACCCACAGCACCATGCCACCAGGTAGGCATGCCACAAACTGGAGGGTCATCACAGCCGATTCTGCCGATGCCACTAGACCCGCTCGTGCCATTACTTCAATATCCACCCCTACGGCGTTCCTCCGTTTGGCTTCAGGCCCTTCCTGCCTTGGCAGCCCATCCCTGGGTGGCGGTGGCAGAGCTCTCCGCTCTCATGGACACAAGCCCCACTCATCACAACCTGCTCCTCCAATGCTTCTCTTGAGACAACACGGCTGTAGCATTACAAGCATTTACTCCAAGGAGCTGAGGCTTATATTCTAGTTTGCTTTGTTAAAGAGTCCAGCAGCACAGTGACCAATAGAGTAACAGGCATCATTCCTGTCACTCAACACTAAAAGAATCCACCCCTCTACGGGTTGCGTAGCGCATCCGGCGAAGCTCGCCCAGCCCCTGTGCTGCATCAGGCCCCACGCGAGCCAGGCACACGCGGCATCCACACCTGGCGTACGCGATACCCCCGCGTGCCGGGACGCTCCGCTGACAGCAAGCGCGCGCAGACGAAACCGTACACTTGAGCCAGATTCATAAATTAAGCAACGGCTGATGAACTATTGACGAAACGTCCTTTTGTGGGCGCCTCCTGGGTCACGCGCTCAAAGGACCCCCCCCGTTGTGAAGCGGAGTCGAGAGCGGCCCCCGCCATCGCGCACCGCAACGCCGCGTTGTTCCGCATCTCGGGGCACCCGGGGGAATTGAGCTGTCACCGCTCGGACACACGCGAGGGGTGCACCACCTCTCCTCTCCTCTCCTCGGTGAACGCAAAACTTTTGCCTGCCGGTCAAATCCCTGAACGGCAGCAGCGCCTCCGAAAGAGCCAATCGCGTTAAAGCGGTCAGCGTTGGAGCAGCACGGGGTTCGTATCTTCCTTGTTTTTTAGAAACGTGGGGTGGGTTGGCGGATCACGCAGATCTCCGTGCGCTCAAGTGATCAGGAGGTGGCAGTGCAGCAAGTGGGTTGCTGCATTGTTGTGTTTGGACCGCTTGAATGCATTCCCCCTGACAAACGTTGGTTCCCTCCGGGTGCCGTCTGTTTCCTCACAAGTGCATAACGCGCAGAGAGAAATTGGTCAAAAATCCCAAGGCGAGGCTCTTATAGCAAAGAGTGTTTGGATGAATTGAAGCTCCGCCAGACGAATAAAGGACATTACGGTAATTACAATTACAATAAGGAAACGAGCACGTGTGTGTGCGTGGTTACTATACACACACCACCCAACGGGAGAACGCTTACAAGCACATGGAGATATCGGTACGAACGCAAAGCGTGCTGTTCGAATCTGAAGCCCTCAAACAAAGGCAGAACCGAATGTGGAGCGACCCTCAAGGGGAGAATCACAAAACCCGCCTTGGAACCCTTTCAGAGTCTAATCTTGCGTCTACTAAACACACGTGCTTCACTTGCAGCATGTTTGCATTGGCCGAGACCATCAAACTTGGCAACAACAAAACACGTGCAATGTAACCGCTCTTGGCCAAACATCTCAATGCAGAAACATGTCCTGCACTTTTCCCAAAATGGGATCACACACATGGCAGCCCCTCCCATTAGCACCGTTGGCTACGTACGGTGCGAAAGAAGTTCAACGTCCATGCACGGCAACATCACCCACCCCCCTGAAGCAAAACCTTGGCAGGACCCTCCTGTAAATGAGTCCTGCGACTCAGCGAGGCGTGCGTGGGTAGACAAGTGTGTTCGTAGTAAGACGACTGATGCGTCTTGGGCAGGTGAGCAGGAGTCGAACCCAAGGTAGTTTCTCAGCGTTGCTGGCTCAGGTTGGCTCCCGCGAGCCATCTCCTGACATCGGGTATCAGTTAACAACCACTCAGAGAGCTCTAAAGTTTACCAAACCATTTCCTAGAGCTAAATACATTCCAGCCCTTACATGTGAATATTGAACAAAGGTGTGCACTGTGTCTAAATGCAGACGGAATGTTGTTAAACAGAAATGAGAGCGCACGCGCGCTCACACACACACAAACACAAGTGTACACCCCCCATTTAAACACTCAAACTCGAGCACACACGTACAACATCACACACAGAGAGAAACAAAGCTCCCCTGTCACTGCCTTACAGACTGTTGAGCTGGGTGCTGTTCGCGGGTACCTATTAAGGCTGGCATGGCGCACCATGTGGCTCGTGCGGCGTCGCACCACGGCCGATCGGTTACACACCGAACCAGGGACTCGTTTACAGCTGAGTCTACTGTAGATGGCTCGGAATCAAACCTCGGTTGCCGGCATGACACTGCAGCGATGCGTGATCCACTACACCGCCCCAAACACACAAGACAAAGACAAATATCTCCCCCTCCCATATAGCCTTTAACTGAGCGTTACGGCAAGTGCTGTTCGCGAGCACTATGAAGGCCGGCAGGAAACACCAAAGGGTGGGTGGCCAACACCCATCTGTGTCTCCCCAGCGCCGAGGTTTTCTGTACACCACACCAAATACTCATTTCAGGCCGAGTCAATCTAGTGGAGGCTCAAGACCGGTTCAGATATTCGACACTTAAGCGGGACTCGAACTCGGGTCACCGGGCTCGTAGAGCGACACGCCAACTGCTGCACTACCGCTCCTCTCACACACACACACAGATGTGTACACACACACACAATTACATACACGCTCTCCTTATGCATCAAAATCCCACTTAACCTTGCAGTCTGGTTAAGCGCAACAAAGCGAACCAAATAAACCCTGACAGTACAAACACGTTGCTGGTCTCAAGGTTTGTTTATGGAAAGCGCCCTCCAGTCAAATCTCTACCCAGAAATGCCACACTGAGCATCTATAACTCTTCATCTCCGCCAGGGTTGTTCGACCAATAGCCTTATTGAGTGTTCATGTATGGAATATAATTACACCTAATTCACGGTCACTTTCACGTTGTATCGCATGCATCATTTGACTTGTGCCCTATATATATGTATGCTAAAAGCAAGATAATATCTTTCCCACGCAAGGTGGATTTCCATCAGCTGCCAAACAACTATGCCAGCCAAGAAATAACATCAAAGGATAAGTGCCATGATAAAAAAAGGTCAACTCAGGCTTTTAGCAACAGAGAGAGTGGCTGTGTCTGCAAGAGAGGCGCAGAAGGCAGAAGCACCACTGCACACAGACAGAGGGAAACTCCCCACACAAGCCCCATGCAATAACGGTGGCTTAGACGGAGCTCAGAACATGCATTTGCCCCAACATGGGCATTGTGGGGTGAAATATAAGAATTATTAGAGGCCATTGTGGGGTTATTTAGTTTCTAAAGATCTGGGCGTTTAAACATCATGATCTTCCGTTACGCACCGATTACTCAAGGAGCAATCTCGTTTGTATCGTCATCAAAACCCACGTGATGATGATCGCCGTGGTGCTGCAGATCGTCTGGTTGACAAAGCCACAACAACCACAATGGGGTATTAAAGTAAAACGTCACAGCCCCTTGCCGCCAATCCACTGCTGGATCAAGGCCTCCCCACGTCGTGTCAGTCATGGGGGTGTTGGACTCAGGACCGGTTTCGCCACTGACGTTAGCCGTGGCCCAAAATCTAAATGCAGGTCACCGCACTAACCACCCCCAATGTTTGACATGCATATATAGTCATTGTTTTTCAGAACGGCCTTGCTTATATTTTCCCTCCCCAATTGAACCTTAAGGACTATTTCGTATGTAGAAATAAATTGGTTTAGCTGGAGAATAATCACACGCAAGGAGTAAGAGCTCAGCTCTACAGATGCGAGTCATGATCCCACTTGCTGCACTGTCATCTCCTGGCCATCTCACAGCCCAGCAGATCTGGAGGATCACAGCATGTCGACAATGATGTCCCACCCACTGCGCTGGGATTTAGCAAAATGCAACTGAGACTGCAATAAACACAAAATAGGAATCACGAAAAATGTGTCTCCATACCGAGGATGTGGTTCGCGGAGAATTACTGCAACCCTTTTGTGGTTTGGGAGTATCTGGTTAATTCCAAAAATGTTCAGTGAGACATTAATGAAACATCTCAAGCAGGACTCCCGCCTGTGAAAAGTCTCCGCTCATAAATGGATCGTCGTTATCGCTCGTATCTTATTCACCTTTGTATCCACTTGAACCAGATGGCAGTGGTTTTTTCTTTGAGCGGGGTCCCATGGTTCATATGGAGTGCTCTTGCCAATAGCGTCTGTTAAAGCCACCGGCAATTGTTTAACAAGTCTGACTCTGCTGATGAGAATTGGAAGGTTAAAACTGGTCTAGAGTTTGCCTACTTTACTCAAATGCTTCGTTAAAATAATTGTCTGGAAAACGAACAGATGGACTAACATATAATGTTTATTTATTAGTGGAGACAGAACAGAGTTAACACGCGCTTGCTTTTAGCAGATGGCACACTCATAGCGATAACAATGATTGCATTGCACTAAACATACATGAGCGGGCAGGTGTGGCGACTCCACACACAAGCCGAGCGACGCAGCGGCCAGCACCGCCGAGCACCGGCAGGCGAGGCCCCACACAGGTGAGGCCCTACACAGGTGAGGCCCCACACAGGTGCGTGTGCGCATGCACGAACGGCGCAACGCCTCTCACCTGCAGCGCGTACGCGGCCAACGCAAACGCCGTCTCGGTGTCCACTTCGACCTGGCCCTGCACGGCACGGAGGGGGACACAAGGGAGCAGCGGCAGCAGCAGCGGCAGCAGCGGCGAGAGCTGAACACCGACTTGCACAACACAGATCTCTACCCCCCCCCCCCACCAGCCCTGCCGCACGCAGAAGATGAACCCACCCAGAGGCGCCGGCCCAGGGGAGGAGCCAGGACTGTTCCATTTTCAACCGGTGGGCAGGGGAGCGGGGGGGGAGATGTTGGGGGTTGTGGAGAGTTCTTACTCACTTGGTAGAGCTCGCCTCTTGCTGACGTGCGCAACTTTGCACGCAGCGGTAGAGACCGCAGGGTAAATTAGGCTCTGCCTGGTCGCATAGGGTATGGGGCGATGCTCATCTCTGTAAGCTGCTCTCTGAGACATGGGTGGGAATTCCACATTTCCATGGCGGTGGCTAGTTTTTCCACTGGACAGCCACCGTTGAATTCCCATAAAGTGAGAGGAGTTTAATCTACTCCAGATGAACAGTCCGATTTAAACCCTGACCAGGATTTCAACTTGCATGAAAAGGTATTGCGGTGGGTCTACTCGCGAAACAATGGATTCTGCGTCCGATTTTGGTGTTCGCTTATCAGACACGGCACAGAATTGCTCATAAATATTGTGTGACATGTTTGTTAATTTAGGTCCAAAGCTGTCTGTGGCTTAATACCATCAGAACACGTGGCCACGAATGATAATTTGAGCATCACCGGCATTGTTATCAGCAGAATACCACAAAACGTGATCCTAAAACTCAAGCAAATTATTACAATTGAACGGCATCGCTTATAGCCTGTGGCGCATCGGGATCTACGGGTGAAATGCATCTTGCAAGTGTAAATTATTGTTATTATTATATTTAACTATCAGGCAGCTAAAATAAAAGAGCTGGGAATACAGGAAAGACATTGTGCATTTGTTATGAGTACCAGATGTGGGATCTGTGCAGAAGGAAGGAAGCGATGGTGGGGTGTGGTGGCAGCAACTGGCAATCTTTAAGAGTAAATCAAGAACTAATATTAAACTAGAAACTATTTTTATTTTACCAGGTAAGGCCCATTGAGCTATCTAGCTCTTTTCAGAAGCGACCTGGCCACACATCATATCCCAATGAAGTGGCTCATTGCGGAAATGTATAGCAGCCAAATATTCTAAATGCATGATCATGATTCAGAATGTGAGGGGAAAAACCGGATGACCTGGAGAAAAATCCACGCGACCACGGGGAGAACATGGAAACTTCAAATATACAGCAGCAGGCGTCAGGGTCGGGATCGAACCCACGGCCTCCTGTACAGCAGGCGAGGTAGTTAACATCTCACCACCGCAGTGGAAAACAGACATTCTGCCAAGGTGGAGCAGTTACGCGCGTGTGTGCGTGTACGTACGTGTTTGTGCGTGTGCGTACGCATGTGCGTGTACGTGCGTATACATGTGTGTGCATGCGTGTACGTGTGTGCGCATGTGTGTGCGTGTACGTGCGTGTACGTGCGTGCGCGCGTGCGCATGTGCATGTACGTGCGTGTACGTGCATGTACGTGTGTGTGTGCGTGTACGTGTGCGTGTACGTACGTGCACGTACGTGCGTGTATGTACGTGACTGCATGTTTGTAAGTGTGTGTACATGTGGGGAGCAGCAGTAAAAGTGGTTCGTGCACTGCACGACAAACCCGACCACCCGAGTTAGATTCCTGCTAACGATCAATAACAGTGGTTATCTGCACCAGACCTGGGCTTCCCCTAGGTCGACTAAGCCTTAAATAATGACGTGGTACTTCGTGTACACATCAGCACTTGGGAGAACAAAGGCGGGCCGGGCGTGTTGCTGGAAACCCACCCCCTCGTGTGCCTTCGTAAGTGCCCGCTAATAGCCATGTTGGGGGAGCTTTGTCGTTTTCGTACGTGTGAGCATGTCTGTCCGTACGCGTGCACGTGTGTGTATGCTGCACCCCGTCTGCGCGTGGATGTGCTCGCATTGTCCTTCCCCGCACTTCGGAATAGCACGATTGGCTACGTACGGTGCAAAAGAAGTTCAACACACATACATGTACGTGTGCGTCTGGGGATCCGGTGGCTGGAACGTGCTTATACCGTCGTCATAATCATCATAATCATCATCCAAGCTGTGGGGAGTCTCGACTCCAGCCAGCCACCGTAAGAGCCGAAAATGAGTTAAAGAGCAGCAGCGATTCGCAGGGCGCGCCGCTAATCCCCGCAGCTCCCTCCCTCCCTCGCCCCGGGCTCCGCGCCAACTCAATTACTGTGCGCGATGCTTTTAAGGTGGAGAGAGAAGGGTGCCCCCCCCCCCCCCGTGCTTTGCGCTCAGAACAGCGCTAATGTTGTGGCCCTTTGTTAAATGCAGCCCGCCAGTGCTCACTGTGCAGCATTGCTGCTGCTGCGGCTTTTTATATCTTTCAGTGAACAGTGCCCCCATAGTTTAGACGGAGTGCTCTCACCAATAACAACTGGTGACCCGGGTAGCAGTTGTTTAACTCGCCTTCTGACGCTGATGATGAGACCGAGACATTTCAAAACCGGTGCAGGGCCGGCTTGCTTGCTTAAACAAATGCTGATGGATAATAATGGTCTGTAAAGCCAAGAGGCTGAAGGGCTAAAATATGTTTTAGTCCTTCAGCCTTTACAAAAGTTTTTAGCCGTAACGTCCAACAGTTTGAGTGCTTGTTCCACTTAACCAGGTTGTGTGCACAGGCGTCATCATCGTCATGCTCATAATCTAATCAAGATCAATTAATCAGTCGCTCTTTGTGGGAAGCCGAGGGTGGTTATCCAGCAGAGAAACTGGCCCTCGCCATAGGAATGTGAATTGTTGCCACTCAGAGCTGGCAATGGATACGAGTATTTGTCCAATGCTCCTTTTAAACAGTAGACTTTTAAATTTTGATTCGCAAACTCCTTAGAGAAGCACAACTTCAGTCGAACTAAAAATGAACACGAGTGGACTGATGAACGCCGTCAGATCAGCATGGAGGCCGCACCGCTGAGATTCTGAGTCTGCATCTCCAGCCACTGACCACTTTGGTGAAGCCTTGACGTTTGTTCAAAATTGATACTCAGCTCAGTCGCTATTGACTGTGTTTAATGTACACATTGAGATTTTTTTTTCTATCTTTAATTAGCCAACTGTAAGAAGGGTAAAATATTTTAATTATCTTTAATTGTATAAATGTACTAGATAAGTGACATGCAGAGAATCACTCCATAGAGAGAGCAAAGAAGGAGCAGCGTCTACTGTGGAATGACAGAAGCCGATTGAATTTCGGCAGAAACCATAGCTCAGTTTCTGAAAAAGCTCCCGGCACGTGGACTCAAACGTCGGACACGGTGCCGAACGATGACACACGGCACGGCTGGACAGCGCATCGGTGATCTACGGAGCAGCAGCAGCAGCAGCAGCGCGACCACGAGGACCCATGCTGGGCCAGGAGCGGCCGCTCCAGGGTGGCCTCGCAGGGCCTCTCCCCGATGCGACGTGCGCCTCCTCTGGATTGAAAAACCTCGATCAGAAAAATAAAATTTATTTTCTAAAAGCTGCGATCAGTCTGATCACTGGGCAAAGACCAACATCTCCATATTCCTCCTGCTTTAATCTTTGGGTGCTGGAACCCAATTTATTTTATTCAAGACTCTCAGCGGTGCCAAGCCCAGTTCTTGGACACGGCCATTATGAGCTCCCCCCTACCCCCGTGCCAACCGGAAAACCTCGGAAGCACAGACCGCTCGCACAGACACCACCACCTCGCCCACACGCAAGCAAAACAGTGCTCTCCGCAGGCCGCCCGTGTTTGCTCGAGGTGCCCGTTGTTTGAGTTGGAAACGCATGAAGGCCCCCTCCAGTGGGAGGACATGCTCCCCAAGCGCTCCGCTCCAGCGTGCAGGAACGTTGGTGAAACGAGCGGGGGGAGGCACGTGCGTGCACGTGGAGCTCACCGCTGAGAAACGCCAGCCCGATGGCTCGGGGGGGGGGGGGGGAGGCAAACGTGTGACGAGAGAGGAGCCATTGCATCCACCCGGCTCTAACATCATCATCCATTGGGTTCCGGCTACCGCCTGCCAATGTCCGGCTACGAATTGCTGGTTTTCCCCAGGAAAAAGTATGGTTGCCCCGTCTTCTGGGGTGAGGAATCAAAGTGAACATGTAGGAATGGCAAGAGGAAAGGCCAATCCATTAAATGAGCCAACACCTTTAAATATTATTATGGATTTTAATATTCTTTTATTACTACGCTTGTTTACCCTGGGAAGCCCTGCCAAGTTTCATGACTCTTTTAGGAGGGTCCTGCCAAGTTTTTGAAGTAGGGAGGCGATGAATGCTAAGCTTCAACCCAGGTGAGCAAGAGACTGATCAAATTTAGTAAATTAGGACCGTCACGTTGGCACACATAGTATGCACTCTTGCACAAACCACCAGGGGAGCTCTCACGTGCACCGCGAAGCACACGGCGCGCTGTTTGTGGGTAGTGTTAACCGGGGCGTCCGCTCGGCTCGAACCGCAGACGGCAAGACGTTGTGGAATCGCTGACCGTGGTGACCTGTTGACTCCACCTCTGGGTGCCCGCAAGCCGGCGAGTGATCACAGCACGTGGCCTCGTGCGCACACGGACCGCCGCTGAGGCAGAAATGAAGACGCGAATTCCTAGCGGCCGCCAAAGCATCGCCAGGCAGCCAGTCGAGGGAGGGCGCGGCAGTGCTGCCAACGGCCCCACGTCGTGGAAGCTCGCACGAAGGTCGGGCGAGTGAGTCGGTGAGCGAGCGGGCGAGCGAGAGGTTGAGCCAGGAGGCGAATGAGTGGGTTCGCGAGCGGGCAAGCGAGTGGGCTAGCGAGCGGGCGAGTGGGTAGTTGAGCAAATGAGGGAGCGGGTGAGTGGATAAGCGAGCGGACGAGAGAACAGCAACTGGATGGGGGAGCCTGGGGTAGGCCATCCTGGGTATAAGGGTGGACGTGAGGTGAAGAAGGCTTTGTTCTCCGTGGCCCCCGCCTCCTCCTCCTCCCGGGGGAGCCGGGGCCTGAGTGAAACGAGTCTGGCTGCTGCTGCTGCTGCTGCGGCCCCAGGTGACTGTTCCGAGCGTTCGCCGGCATCTGGACAATGCATGTACGTTGAACTTCTTTCGCACCGTACGTAGCCAACCGTGCTAAATCGCACAATACTGGCCCCGCACATGCGGCACACAGCTCGCGTCCGACAAGGCAAAGCGGAAGTCAGGAGGACGAGGAGTGCGGTGGCAGTGGGACACAGGGCAGTTCCTAGACAGAATTGGACGTGCAGCAGCACCCTCGATCCCTTTGCCCAACCCCGAGGGCTCGCAGCGCCACAATGGCCGCGTTGTCTCGCCCGCCGCACCGCGGGACAAATCTCCCCTCTCTCTCCTCTTTCCCTCTCACTGCTGCACTGTGGAATTCCCTCCCATTGTCTCTCCCCCCCCGCCACCTCCTTCCGAGTTCTTATGATTTTACTCGATTCAAAAAAAGCAAAAGTGTCAATTTTAATGCAGCACCTGTATTGTTTTACTCGAATCAGAAAAAAAAAATGGACAGACGTGTCGTCACATTATAACTCTGCTTGCAGCGTGCAGTGCAATTACCGTCGCTTGGCACGTAACAGGCGCGATTACTTTTATGCGAGATTACTAATTCAGGGACGTCCACCAAAGAGATGGAGGGATGACATCGGTTCACGTGCAGGTGACGGATACATTTCCGCATCTCAGGAATCGTCGTGAGAGGTGGTGGTGGCTTTGGGAGGCCTTCCTCCAGCAGTGGATTGTTCATGGCTGATTATATTTTTTTTCTCTCATATTTTATTGTTTTACTTTTTTCAAAATGTTCAAAAATGTATCTAAGAGGGGGAAACGGAAGAGTCGGAAGCTTGGGTTTACTTACGGACAGCAGCAGCAGCAGCTAATGTGCATCGATCACTCTACTAGGGCCTCCAGCCACAGCACAATGCTGTCATGTCTTGGTCTAACTCAACCTCGTGCCTTAACCACTACCAAGTGATCAGAAGCGTAATCATTACCAAAAACTATACTGCTGTACTTCCAAAATGCCCAATACATTCTCATACTACATTACTGCTAAACAGCGAGCCGATCAGTGATCAGACAATCCGTACGCTCCACCTAGCACTGCGCGCAGCCTGGTTCACGGCACGTCGCACGCGATGCAACAGCACAATCACGCAACGACACAATGACGCGGGATGAGTTCAACGTGGGTCGCCAGCCACTGACAAAATTAGCCGAAATCAATAACTACAGACTGGCTCCAAGCATATGACCTCGTTGTTAAATGTTCAAATGTGCGTGAAGACCCGACAATGCCACGTACAGCTCTCTCTCTCTCTCTACATGTTTATAACGTTCGTGCTCACTACAGAAATTACTGAACATCACGGTGCGATTGGAACTTGAACAAATAACCTTCGGAAGGTGGAAGTAAAATGTGTCAGTCGATCTTACGACGCCTTACATGCATTACAATGTTTATGTACATGGCACTGCATAGTTAGCCCACTCAACAATCCCCATTGTGCCCATTTCAAGGGATGGGTTCTCAAAGACTGGCTTTGTGTCTCACTAGTGCACAAACCTAAAACACGATGGGCCCATTTCCACTTTTGCGTTCTGACGCCATTCCAGAGCGAAGGTATGCTACGTTCATATTCTTTTTTAATTTTGGTTTAAAATTTCCTGGACAGAATCGCAGCCTCTCGGAATGTACGCATCAAGCTCCGTTCCGCGTAATAGAATAACGCTTTCTGAGAAAACCCGAGGCAGAGATAATATTTTGGAATTATAAAAAATGTAATGCAGCTGGATGAGTGGGCCACAAGCTGGCCCAAGCCCCCGCATGCACTTGCTTATGACCGCGCTGTCAATTAAGCATCTCAACGCAATCAGTGTCCCTCATTTTACTTAAGTGGGTGTGCAACGGTGCTACGAACCCTGCAACCCGAGTTCGATTCCACAACGGCGTTTCTCCCACCTGCACCAACTTGCACTGCAATTTCACGAGAAGATATTGCTTGGCCATGAATGTAAAAAAATTTAAGGGACAAAATCATAGCCTTACTCATGACCAACACAATGTAGGGGAGTTATTTAAATGTGGCCAGGTATCCAGCCATTTTGCTTCTGCCATTCCCGTGATCTGGATCATCCTTGCAATGAGACTGCCCTGGTCTCGCTCGAGTTCTCACCTGGTTAAACTTTGTTATTTTCTTACTTCAACAGGTGACGCTGAGGTCAGAGTACACGACTCATAATCGAAAGGTCACAAGTTCAAATCCCAGCCAAAGGTCAAATCACCCCCCCATCACTCCTGCGAGTGGATAAAATGTTGACACACTTTTTAGAATATCGACTTCTGCGGTCATATCCCCCCACCCCATGGCGTGTGTCGGCCGAGACGCTCCACCCCCAGGTTGATCGACCCAGGGTGTGAGCATGGTTGGAGGAGGGCACAACGTTACACGTTAAGTTTGAGATTTTAAAACAAGGATAAGAGATGTGATGTACAATGTGAACAAGAGATATGGGTGGAACATCGAGCAAGGACATCAGAGGACAGATGGGAAAACTTAACAATGGAATGGAGGGAGCAAAAGGAAGGAAGAGGTGGGTACAAAGTGAGACGGTGGGATGCGATTCAACGATATGGAAAATCGAACTGGATGGAGGGAGACCTTTGCCCAAAAGAACAAATGAAGAGCAGCCCACGGATGTGTGCGTTTTTTCAGGACAAACCTGGGGATTCGTGTAGAGTAGTCACAAACAGCTGTAAACCGAACCAGAGAATGCATCTCTCTCGCTCATTCTCATTGCTGGCACCGAGCCAACAATGGCAGCAATTCCACACTCCCGTGGCAGGGAAAGCGATCTTGTCGCACGACAGGCAACGCCAACTTCCCACAAAGTGGCACGAATGTCACCAACCCTGGACTGGGATGTGGATCGATGACGACCACCTGTGAGACGGGCACTCTACCTATGGTGCCACGTGGCGAGATTAGAACCCGTCGGTCTCTAAGCGCCCCTTTGTCTGCACACGTACAGGTGTGAGTGCAGTCCGTCGTTACCTTGTGCACCAGCGCCTGGGCGTTGAGGTAGAAGAGCTCCACCGTGGTGGAGTCCTTGAGGAAGGCGATGTCCTCGATGTAGAATCTGCGTGCACGGAGAGGCGGCGGGGCGAGGCGCATCGTCAACGCGTGGTTCGCGTTACGACACCGCGGACAAAAAGCACAGTCTTCGAATCGGATTAAATAAATTAGACAACTTTAATACAACTGCTGGCAGAATACGGATGCAAATGCAGGTTTGTGAATCGTTGCCTCTGGCAACGCGTGGATGATGTCAGCCAGGTGCGCAGCAATGCAAGCGGTGGCAGGATGGATCCCCGACCGCGATGCACAACACACCAGCGGCAAGTCGCATCTCGACCTGGACTGGTCCTCCTCCGGGACGACTCGGCTTAAAACAACGCGACGAAGCAGTTCCCTCTACCATTCGTTGTGGCCGGTGGATTTGTTGTCCTTCCCCCACACCTACGATTAGCCACGGTTGGCTACGTACGGTGCGAAAGAAGTTCAACGTACGTATATACCGTACGTACAAGCACGGTTATCCCTGCGCCACGGGTGTGGCGATAGCAGCTCCTCCACCCCCTCTCCCCATGCCATCTCGTTGTCTGCAGTCTAAGCGAAGGCCATCTTGTGGTCTGCAGTCTAAGCGAAGGCCATCTCGCTGTCTGCAGTCTAAATGAAGGCCATCTCACTGTCTGCAGTCTAAATGAAGGCCATCTCACTGTCTGCACGTCTAAGCGAAGGCCATCTTTGTATTGGTGGTGTTGGTGGCCCCCGTCCAGGCGTCGGTGGGAAATGACCGCACCGCTTTCCTGTTTGTGGTGAGGGTGTAGCGAGCCGTGCCGCATGTGTTCAAGCCCACCCCTATCGGCTCATTAAAAAGGAAATAATATTTCTGGGGAAACATCCTGGGGAACTCGTGAGACGTAAAAGCAAATAGTGGGAGCCGATTCTTTTATTAATGACCCCCCGCCCCCACCTCAACCAAACACAATGAATACGAACTGCATTTGTAATAAAACCAAGAAATCTGTAAAAAAAAACTTTCAGGAAAAATAAACGCAGTGAAATAAAAAGCAGCAGAGGAGATTTTATGTTTTTGAATGGAAAACAATTGGGTGGTTTGGGTGGCACAAATGGCCGTGTCGGAGATACCAAACATGAATCACGGAGCAAACCGAGGCTCACACCCTCGAAGAGAGGAAACGCGAACCACAGAGCTGCTGGATTCACCACTTGTCCCGTGAGTTGTAAAGCTAAAAGCTGCGAGCGTCTCATTGTCCCCCGCACCTCCGACGAGCACGGTTGGCTACGTACGGTGCGAACGAAGTTCAACATACACACGTACGTAACGTGGAGAGGGCGTAGCAGCTGTTGTTTTACAGAAACAAATTGCTGCACGCATGGGCCGTCTATCGCGGGCTGTCTGTCGTGGGCTGTCTATCGCGGGCTGTCTGTCGTGGGCTGTCTATCGCGGGCTGTCTGTCGTGGGCTGTCTGTCGTGGGCTGTCTATCGCGGGCTGTCTGTCGTGGGCTGTCTGTCGTGGGCTGTCTGTCACGGGCTGTCTATCGCGGGCTGTCTATCGCGGGCTGTCTGTCGTGGGCTGTCTGTCGTGGGCTGTCTATCGCGGGCTGTCTGTCGTGGGCTGTCTGTCGTGGGCTGTCTGTCGCGGGCTGTCTATCGCGGGCTGTCTGTCGCGGGCTGTCTGTCGTGGGCTGTCTGTCGTGGGCTGTCTGTCGTTGGCTGTCTGTCGTTGGCTGTCTGTCGTGGGCTGTCTGTCGTGGGCTGTCTGTCGTGGGCTGTCTATCGCGGGCTGTCTGTCGTGGGCCGTCCAGCACGGTGTCCGAGCTTTGTTAACGAGAGAATGAGCAACCACGCGAGACCGAGCGGCGTGACCACCAGCCACGTGGGGACGTCAGCAGGGAAACGCACACAAGCCGCAGTGGCGCGCACGTGGTCACACGATCCAAACTATGGTGCGTCGAGTAAACAACCGTCATCTGCGCTCCTTCAACGGATGAGGAGAAGGAACAGCAAAAGTGCTCAAACTCTCTCTCCCGAAACCCTCTCGTCGTGCTCCATCGACCTCGACGATGGAAGTGAGCTCCTGAACGCTGCTGCTGCTGCCGCCGCTACCGCTGCCATCGTGCGCGCAAGGGTCGAACAGAACGGTGACACGCTGGTGGCCCTCGCCCGTGGGAATTCGGGCCCCACGCCCGGAGGAGCAGCATGGAGAGGCATTTGAAAGCCGCAATGGTGGCGTTTACTTTTTTCAGCGACAGCGTGATTAAATCGTCTCTTGTGCAGAAGCTAGATGGGACTGTTGCATCGCGAGACCATGACAGGTAGCAATGGCTTGGAGAGGCCTTTATCCAGCAGTGGATCAATCATGGCTCATAACGATGCACGTCGCCATACTGTGCTCTAGAGCCAGGAGCCAGAATTGGAGATGTGAAGTGCAAGTTTGGATTTGTATTCACGGAAGCAACTTTCCACCCCCGTGGTGTTGTGGATCAATATTGGTTTGCTAACGTCATGAAATAGCACGCGATTGTGTTTTGTTTTGTTCATTCCTTTCAACGGAGCTCTTAAGGGTTGCCTGGTCTCAACTGGGTCACCAACGACCGTACAAACCAGGGACAATGGGAGAGAATTAGCCCTTGCAGTAAATTCAGTTGTGGGCTTGCTTTATTTAGCAGACAGCCTCGTACGCTTTAAGACTCCCTCGCTCGAGAGCTACTGATACATTCATATAAAAATACTATGGGATACAATTGGCATAATTCGTAACGCAACTTTATGCGTTGGATCCAACAAGGCAGAGGCCGAGCGACTTGCTGTACTGCCAGCTCCTGGGATACCTCACAGCCCAGAGGCCCTGCTCACGCGACAAGTCTCTCCGATATCCCCAACCTTTTCCTCTGGAGCGGCGCGATACAGGCGTGTTACAGGCGTGCGCTCCGAAACCTGGGACGTGTGTATGCTGAACTTCTTTCGCACCATCCGCAGCCAACCGCGCTAAGCGGATGGTGCGTGTAAAGGGACAGGCGGAGCCGCTTGAAGTGAACCTCTCTCTCTACTCGACGCAGTTTCCTCGTGCGTCCAACAGTGGCGACACGAAGGCCACGGAGTCGCTGCGCTCGAGAACGCCAGGACGGGCTCAGCGGAGTCGGCTCAGCGACTCGGTCGTCACGATATTCCTGAAGCCACCTGGGCCCCCCCCCCCACACACACACACCGCCTCTTTAAGAGACCATTGACAAACAGTGCGGGTCGATTCCTCCCCAGTTGTCTGGGGGGGGGGGGGGAGCCTCCTCAGCAAGACGAGCCCTTCCAATAAGCAGATAACGATTGGATTTCCCTAAAGCGGGCACGCACGCTTTACGTGGTGTAATCCCTGCAAATTAGTGGAGCTGCCGCCACGTGTGCGCGAGGCCATCTGTGCGCCCGCACGCCCTGCCCGCGTAATGCGCAGAGTCAACACGCGCTCATCCACTTAGGCAGGCTCGCCGCAGCACGGAGGCTCGATAGCAGAATGTAAACAATGAACGAGTTACAATAATTGCTTTATTTTTACGCTTTTAGTTTTTCATTAATTGTTTGATGATAAATGTCGCACGGACGCAAATTTCCCATATGCTGCATCCTTAGAGACCACGGCGGCAAGTGCTGTTGGAGAGCACCCATTCGTAAACGTGCACTAAGACAAAGACCCCCCCCCCCCCTATCACATTAACAGACTCTGTGAAGGCGGGCACACGAGGGGGTGGGTGGCCAACACCACGCCCGACCTGCCTTTGCCTCCCTATTGCCAATGTTTACACACTGCACCAGCCACTCGTTGAGGATAAATCGACCGAGGTGGAGACCCAGAACCGGTTCAAATATTCACAACTGGTGTTGGTCGTCAGCAGGAGTTGAACTCTAATGGGCGGGTTCACAGCGCAATGCGTAACCACGACACTACCGTTCCCCAGAAAACACGCGTTCACACACGTACACAACACAGTGACTTCCTCATTCAGCCTCGCTGGCTTGCTGTTGGTGAGAACCTATCAAGGCCAGCAGCGCACTCGCCAGCAGGGTCGCACTCCCATCACCTAAGTCGGCTGATATGGAACACAGCGAGGCATACTGCACAGGTAACACGCCTTGCCACTGCTGGCAGAACAACCTCCACCAGAGGGAGCTCACGACAGCTGCTCCAGACGGACCCCGGTTCACCCTTTCACAATGTCCAAACGTTTCTTAAGAGGTGAGAGTACCCACACTTCACCCCACCACACACACGTCCTGCCGACTGGCTGCGTGTGCTGTATGCAACCGAGCTGTCGACGGCCGCGCCTGGAGATCGAACCGCTGGCGACCCCTGCTCTGAAGTAGGTCCAGGATGCCGGCCGCCACTCCGCATCGTGGCAGCAGCATCCCTCTCGCGGACCAGTCCAGCGATAGCGGGACGGCAGCGTACAGCAATCCGCCGATATAAACGAACGCGTGGAAATAATTACTTGATTCCTGCTCAAAAGACTGAGACGAGGTGTAAGCGCGCGGAGAGGGCCAGGATAACCACCGACCCAATCGGTCCTCGCCCCACCACCCCTCCGCCCAGACTTCTGAAAAGTGCCACTTGGAAAGGGCCCGCGAGCGTTCCCATATCGCGGCGCGGCAATTACCCGAACCTTCCCACAGCCTCCGTCGGCAGGATTTATCAAACATTCGAGGAAATTAAATCCGCTGGGAGGTGACCGTTTGTTTTGACAGGAGACGTTGCGCGGGCCAAGAAGGCATCAGCAGGGCCGTGATGAGGCTCGCGTTCCGCCCCTAAATAAGGAGAGCCCGCGTAGTTTTCTTTCCCAAGGATAATTTCTTTCGCTCAAGTTTGCATTCCGTGTTTGCCAAGCAACTATTAGGACAGGCGAAAGAGGGACTAGAAAAATAAATCTTCCCAAGCAAAAAAAACCAATAATGATCTAATACTTAAACACTTAAAGAATACAGCTTAAAAAAAGTCACGTCATTATTTGCAAACAACAAAAATACTTGTTTCAGACCAGTTTAAGTCAAACAGTCTTTTATAGCCCATGTGACCGATGCCACGCTTCCTTCCTTCTGCCAGATCGAGCGACTCTTGCACAGCGATCACCTGACCCTCCAGGTTCCCCTCCTCCTCCTGCCGTCCCATCGCCACCATGTGGGCCACAGCGCTTCCCTTTGGCCGCTGCCCTCTGGGTGCCACCGCAGCCGTCAGCGCCGTGCCGTCCTTCTCCCTCCCTGCATTTACGCCCCATTCACGGAAACTCCTCGCCGATCCCATCCACAACGCCTTTCCCCAACTTGGCATAGAAAGGAGCCAGCGTGAGCCAAACAAAGACACGTGCAAATACAAAACAATGACAAAAGAAACCAATTGCGGATTTAATTCCGATGATATTTCGATGATTTAAAACGGATACCTCCGTACTCATTATTTCAGAATGAAACAAAAGTACAGCATTAAAAGGAGACATTGAGCAATGGGCTGAGCCCACAAACGTGTTACACTTGACAACCCGGCTTCACCACGGATTGCATCACACAACAACAACGGCAGCGGCAGGAGCTGCGGCAGCGGCGGCAGCAGCAGCAGCTCCAGGCCCGGGCACGGCCACAAGGAGCCCCCTGGGGGACATGCCGACACCGCAGCCAAAGCTTTCATTGTGAAACTATTGTTGTTAAATTGACGCGCAACAATCGTACGCATTGCAGTGACGGCCGCAGGACGAGCGACAGTTACAGCTGCAGGGCGTGACAAATCCCACTTGCTGTACTGCCCCCTGCAGGCACCACTTTGGTCGCCCACTAAGTGGTCGTCTCGTGCGCGTCATTAGTGCGCTCATCACAACGTGACCCACCGACCCATGCCCAGCCTGCCAGTGTCAGGGTTAGAGGCATGCATCCCGTCTGGCTGGTTGGGTTTATGGTCAGAGCACTTTGCTTTGCCAAGAGCCTGAGTTCGAATCCCAGGCAGAGGATGATTTGACCACAAGATCATCCGAGACTGCCTTGCGGGAGGTCAACAGTGCTCATCCATTCCATATACAAGCCCCTGCCACAGCAATGTGGAATATCCATGACTGCCTCATGACATACAACAGATTTACCGTATATGCCTTATCATGATGTGCTTATTCCCCCCCCCCGTGTTTCAAAGCAAGAGTTGGAGGTGCGTCTGATAACGCAGAGAATGAACGCTGCGTTTTCCAGAAGACGTGTTTCAATCCACACCAGAATCACCCTCTCCCCCCTTTTAATGCAGCGCGTGCATAACCATATTGCGGAAGACGGCATAGCACTACCGTGTTCTCCATATTATAAATTATAAACCACTATCTTGTTTCGCAACGACGCCAAACGTTCGCGGTGCGCCTCGCTTTCCCGGGTGTCCGATGGTCCGGAGAATAAGGCAAGCGCTGGCCCAAAGGCCCGCGCTGTAGTGCAGGGAAACCACTGCCTCGCCGCTCGAAGGCGGTTGCCTCTCCGTGTGTGCAGAGGACACAGAGGTGAGCGGCAGGGATCAAGGGGCTTGGCCGTCACAGGGCTGGATGAGGCAACGGAGATTAACGACTCAGTCACGGCGAAAAGTAGCAACGGCTCACGTGCGTGGCCCTTTGAAGATTACAAGGATTATTATTACACTTCGAGTATTCGTACAATCCACTGCTGGATGCACCCCCCCCCCCCCCCGCGGTGCGTGGGTTGTGGGGGGCTATTTGACCGTACTTCACCACGCTGTCATTGCGGGTTGGGGAAGGCGGGGAGCACAGACGTGGGAGCGCAGAGTACAGTACAACAATGGGTTGTGCTGCACTGCCCTCTGCTGCCCAACCCCACGGCCCCGCTCTCCCATAACAACAACATCCCAGCACTAATTATCCAGGCTCAACCTTGCTTAGCTGGTGAGCTCTGGTGAGATCGGGCGCATCGCGGGTGAACTGGCGATAGAGGCGGCGTGCACTCGAGACGCGGACAACGTCCGGACGACACGCTCAGAGACGCCCCGCCGCCTGCCGACGGCAGCAACCCCCCCCGGCTATTCTACGACGAGGCCGCTCTATCGCAGAGGCAATGCGGACCAGCAGTGCCTCTTGTTGAGGCGTTCGCGGTTCGAGCCTCCTGGCCGCCCTGGTTAATACACAGCAGCGCATCACATTAACCGCGGGTGCGTGCCGTCTGCTTTCACGGCGGACGCTAAAGATCCCACGACGTCATTTGAAATAAAGAGGCCACGCGTTGCCGGCGTCACGGTCCGACAGCGATCGATTGCTCGCAAACGACTGAACTCGGAAGCCACGGACCATCACCGCCCCCTCCTGCCAGACTTAAGCCCACTTGGTGGCCACTTCTGGGCTTTGCCTTGTGCCACACAGAGACAGCCGCCAGCGTGGACGTACCCCTGCCGCAGCGTGCCTCGAGGTGTACCGCGTCGGACGCGCGGAACAAATATCACGTGTTGATGATGACGACGATGGCGACGTGGCCGCCGACAAGGCGGAACCCATCACGGCCACGGACACGGGTCGCCTTCAACGCTAGAGAACGCATCACACAGTGGGCATGGACGAGGCCAGCCAGTCGCCATGTGTACGTTGTGTAACCGGCCGTGCTGCCAAACATCTGCTTGTGATAATAAACTATATAGGGCAGTGCGCTCAAACATTTGGCACGGAATCAAAAGCGCTGGGAAATTGTACATGTGTATGTGCGTCAACTCTTCAACGTACGTGCACTGTATTGTTTTACAAATAGATGCACGTAAATCTATCAGTTTAGGGCAAAGCAGTCGTCCTACAGAAAGACTGATCGCCGCTCGCAGGAATGTAGAATCTCCACTGCTGGCTTAGATTCAGCCAAAAGAGGTAGCCGGCACACGCGGGGGGGGGGGGGGGGGTGCGTTTGATTTGAAAGATGCCGCTGCTTTGATTCGTCTTTTGATAACCTCCTTCACGTAGCCGAGAGCGAGATCCCACCTGACGGCGAAGGAGAGCAGGAGAGGACCCGTCGGCTGCTTGGGGAAGTCGTGGTCCAGGACCCTGCGGTCCATGTGCAGCCAGTTGTGATGGCCCCTGCCGTCACACGGACACCACCGGCAGGGAGGCAACGGTTCAACGCCTCCACCGTTCAACAAGGCGTCACGACGATGCAGCGACAGTCGGTATCGGTGACGATTTAAACTCGCAACGCGGCGCCGCATGGCGTTCGCTCGCTCGCGTGGAGAGAGAACGACGCAGAGATGCCAGGAGGAGGAGAGACCACAGGGGAGCAGGGTGCTGTGACATCTGTAGAAGCTGTGGACTCAACTGTGAGGCGGATATATGGACTCGATTGTCCTGAGACCGTCGGATCTACAGTGGTGTTAATTTACAGAATGCCTTGTGGTGCGTGCCTCAACAGGACATATAATCGACAACGATCCGTCATCCGACACAGCCATTATTAGCCCTCTGAGCCATGATCCATCCAGCCATCACAGACAGATTCACTTTTTAAAGTCCTCATAGGTTATATATATATATATTTCTATGAAAAACAATTACAAAAATATACGACAAGGGCTTTTAAGCGATAAGAGATTGCAAAAAAAACTACTTGGAGGAATGCAGAAAATGTGAAACTTGAACAATTGCCACGGTGCTGACAGCAGTGTGGGGTTGGGGTTGGCAGTGCGCGGAGGGAGGTCTGAGCCCAGCACTGGGGGCTGTTGTTGGGCAGCTCCCTGGGAAATCCTGAGCCAGCGCGCAGGTGCACGCCACTCTCCCGCCAAGCGCTTTCAAGTCCTCATCAGAGTTTTGAGAGAGTCCAAAATCCGGCGTGACAATAGCGTAACGAACGTTGAAAATCTCGATTTAGGCAAGATCATAAAAAATCATTATGATAATACAATTGCTGATATTATTTTACTACGTTGCATCGCCCAATTTCGTGCATAACGTCTCATTAATTTGAACTTACTAGTGCTACTTAGCAGACGGACAGGTTTGAGTGTTCCACTCACAACGGGAAGGATGAGAGTTCACATCTTGGGCTGATGGTCTGCTCAGTCCGTCGTACTTCTGGGGTCATTTTAATTGAGCACCGCTTTGTGGCCAAACCCAGGGTGGCGCTATCCGTAGAGAGAACCCGTTCCTGTCGTGGCAATGTGGATTTTTGTTCAATGTGGATTTTTGTTCGATGGGCACACGCTGCACACTATGATACGTCGTCATTTTACGAACGGGCACCTGCAAAGTGTTAGGCGATACAAAGCTGATGAAGTTCCCTGCCTCTGATCAGTAAACGCTGCCATCTGCAGGTCATGTGAGAGTCGGAATTCACAAATGAGTGTTTCACGGTGTCCTGCTGCTTGACGCTGTGCTCGCGACCGTGTACGTCACAGCCACAGCAGGGAGCCATGTGGCAGGTGGCCACACACCCCAAGAGACAGCCCCAGTCAGCACACACACAGTGCACACACACACACACAGTCAGTCAGCACACACACAGCACACACACAGTCAGTCAGTCCACACACAGCGCACACACACAGTCAGTCAGTCCACACACAGCGCACACACACAGTCAGTCAGCACACACACAGTGCACACACACAGTCAGTCAGCACACACACAGTCAGTCAGTACACACAACACACACACACACAGTCAGTCAGTCTACACTCAGCACACACATTCACACAGTCAGCAAAGACAACGATCGCCAGCGAAGCCTTGAACAGACTGTTGGGGCAAGTGCTGTTAGCGAGCACCTATGAAGGCTGGCACGGTACATGACGGGGTGGGTGGTCAGCACCACGCCTAGCCACTTTTGTCTCACCAATGCTAATGTTTACACACAACAGGTTCTCGTTAAAGGCTACATCGACTTAGAGGAGGCTCAGAACCAGTTCAACTATTCGTCACTGTTATTGGTCGTGAGCTGGAATCGAACTCGGGTTGCTGGGTTTGTAGCGCACTGTGCTAACCACGGCGCCACCGCTCCACACACAGTCGGCACACACACAGAGGGTCAACATATAACACACACATTTGCCACAGTCAGCACACACACACGCGCACACACACACATTCAGTCGGCAAACGCTTTGCACAAACGCCTAGAATTTGCACCTAACCGGGGCTACCTGTGGGGCCGCCGCGAGCGTTTGTGACTACGAACCACCGAGCGCAGCCTGGACGCCCCCGGCCTGCGAAGCGTGGCTGGGGCCCCGGTTGGCGCTCGGGCCCTTGTCCTACGAGGCGTTTGATCAACGCTGCTCCGCTAATTCGGAGGCAGCAACAATGGGGCTTTTGTGCGTCCCCCTGCAAACATTTTGGCGATATCAATTTACACTTGGCAAAAAAAAATTGTTCCCGCAAATCCTGAAATTATAAACGGTCGGCGCGCAGGTTAAAGCAATTCCGCAGTTTAAAAACCGAGCAAAAACAAAATATTGTTCGGACTTGAAAAAGAAAATCCATCCCATGGGGAAACGTAAACGTCGCTTCGTTAGCATGTTTTAGTGAACACTTCTGAAAAACCCCACCCCTCCCCCCCATGATTTACAGCGTTTTCCTGTACTGCAAGCTCCCTCAATGTAAACACGGAAAATGCCCATTTCAGTTTGTGTGTGTGTGTATATGTGGGGAGCGGTAGTGTAGCAGTTAGCGCGCTATGCTATTAACCTGGCGGTCGGAGTTTGATTCCCGCTCACAGCCAACACCAGCGACAATTATTTTAACCGGTCGTGGCGTGAAAACATCGCCACTGGGGAGACAAAGGCGGTCGGGCGTGGTGCGGGCCACCCACCCCCTCGTGTATATTTGTGTGTATGTATATTGGTGTCCATGTGTATTTGTGTGTATGTGTATTTGTGTGTATATTGGTGTACATGTGTGTGTATGTGTATGTATATATGTGTACATGTGTACTTGTGTGTATGTGTATTTGTGTGTATATTGGTGTACGTGTGTATTTGTGTATATGCGCACCCTTTTCCCCCCACGATGCACACGTTCGCGTAGTCTGCACAGCGTCTTGAGACCGCGGTTATATTTCAAATCCAAATTGGTTTGTGTAAAGCTCCGTAAAGCAGTGGATTTTCCAGTGACATTTACGAAGCTCAAAACCACCCACATAGCGCCGCCCCGTGGTGCCGGTGGGGTGCGACTGTGGCGTGTGAAGCGACTGCTGTCTTTGCTGCCTGCTGTCTGCTGCCTGCTATTGCACGGCACAGCTGCACCCAGCCAGGTGCCCGTGCAGCCTCAACAGCCACCGCAGCCAGACTCCCTCAATAGGCACGCTGCTACTGTCTGTGGACCCTTTCACGGTGCATTGTGGGAGCCGCTCCGTGTTGGCCTATGGAGCTTGGCGCAGAGGGAAACGTTAAACAGACTGACTGTTTCGCCTCATACACAGTGTGTGCAATCACCGCACCGCAGGTCACAACAACAGTCTCCCAATACTCTCCCACATACTCACCCACTCACTCACTCACTCCCCCATATACTCACCCATTCACTCACCTCGCCACTTAACACACTGCAGGTCACAATAACACACTCGTCCAGCCACCCGCTCACCACACTGCCAGCTACAATGCTGCTCTCGCTGCTTCTCACATCGCTCCCCATCATCGTCTCATTGCCCCAAGCTCTCATAACTCTAAACACGTGATGTCGATTCTAAACGTAGAGGGAAAAAAACGGAGGACAGGGAGAAAATCCACGCGACCACGAGAAGAGAGAGACATGCAAGCTCCAAATATACAGGCGTCAGGTTCGAGATCAAACCCACAACCTCCAGTATACCAGTCGAGATCGTTAACATCTCGCCACCGGAGGAGACCAGGGGAGCCTCCTCCTTGAACCGCACCGGCGGGCGGGGAGTGCCAGACCCGAGCGCCCTGGGGATGAACTCACGCATCGTCGAAGAAGGAGAGGCCAAAGAACTCCTTCTCCTTGAGGTTGAAGTGGGAGGCGACCAGGTCCAGCAGCTCGCGGCCCTGCAGCTTTGGCTGCAACAAACACAAAGCGCACGGCGCGCCGTCAAGACGCGCGCAGCACCGCGTTTGCCGCTCGTTGTAAGAGGCCGCGGTCCGAGCCCCCGCGGGCCAACCCCGGTTGACGTTGCAGCCGGATTGACCACGAAAGCGAGGCCGTCCACTCCTCGCTGGACGCCAAAGATCCTGTGACACGATTTGAAAAAGCGCGGGCAGGCCACGTCAATGACTGGATTAGGAAAAACCACCGCGCAACGTGACCCCCCCGCTAATGGAAAAAGAAAAGCTGCTTGCAGGCCGCACAGAGACAGCTGCCGCTGTGGATCCCCTCGGCCAGGCTGCAGCAGGGCATCGGAATGTTTGTGATGGGATGCGACAGGACAGGCTCCGAGTTGCCGAGGGATTGGGTGCCGCAAATCCTCGCAGTCCCCCTCAACCGCACTGCAATGGCCGTCGGCGCACGAGGGGCAGCTCCGGCTCACACGAGGTTACGAACTAAACTCGCGGTCGGGGATCGACTCGGCACATCGTTTCTCCAAGGTTGATGGCGCGGTGGTTGTCCAGTTGCAAGACTCCCCTCCGCCATAACAATGTTGAATTTGTACCGCTGTGCTCAAGGCCAAAATAAAAACTTGTTATGAGGGAGACGCTTTCGCCTTTGAAAATGTAATTCCTGAGGGAAACGAAGGAGGTCCCAGGTTTCTAGACATCAGATATGTTTTTATATGTTGGGGAATCCCCGTGCAGAGAACAAGGCCCCACCTTGCCACGTCAGGATTTTGTGCCTGCCATCGTTTGACACAGGCGGCCGGGTCTGTCGCTCGGCACGTTACGACTGGGTAATGCAACTCGAGGCGTAATGATTTACACCACGGAAACGTCACCAATCGTCGCAATTCAGCACCGCGCTTTTATACAAAAGTAAAATTTTGCTGTTAACAGTGTGATGAATGCAGCAGCCACTAACAGCTGCAGATACCCACATGAGCCCATTAACCGCAACATCTATTAATTACAAAAATATCTCCCATACATGCAATTCAATGCATGTATGGGGATGAGCTTAAGAATTAACTTTAATCGATGGCATGGTGCCTCGTAATACATAGCTCGAGTAGTTTCACCTCACAGCGTGTTCTCTCCTTCTCGATAAAACACGGATCTGAACCGCCGCATCTCAGCGATGTGACGTGACTATTTAGAGCCCACGGAGCCACCCAGATGCCATCAACAACACCACCCGCGAAACCAACGTTTTCAAACGTTCAAAAGCGGCTCAAGCGAAGCGTTAACCGGCCACGGCTTGGCTGCGGTGGAGCCGGCGGGGCTGCGAGCGAGGCCGAATGAATGTGGCGTCTTGTACTGCACACGGAGTCGAGACCCCCTTCACCGTACACTCGGTAACACGTACAACGTGTGTGCATTCTGGTTTTAAATATATTACTTTGCTGGCAAACGAGGTATTTTCGTTTGAGCTTAAGTGCAATTTTTTCAGCCAGTGATTTTTTTCCAGGGTTTTTGTTGTAGCGGAGGCACCGCCAGCAATGGGTCCCATTGATATGTTTATTTAAAAGCCCCGGTAAAAATCTTTGATTCACAATTGTAAGGTTGACAGTTCATATCCGAGGTCAGGGGTTAAACTCGGCCTATCATCCTTCTGGGGTCGACAAAGTAAGTTCCACTTTGTGGGAAATCAAGCATAGTTGGTCCTATAGAGAGACTAGCGCCCAACTTAGGAATAAATATTACTATTAATGTCGGGCCTTATTTAAAATGCTTAAATTTTGGGACTGTCCCCCTCTTGGAAACATTTCTAGATCCACCTCTGCACATCCTGAGCAGAGGAATCAATTAACAATCAATGAATCGATGCATCCTGACGGGCCTAGTTGCTATGCAGCACTAAGAGGGCTGCCGAGTGCAATGCCAGGCAGTTCAGTGGCCATGAACGGACCACATCGTGCCGACAGAGTTCGGGATGTCAGCGGCAACTCGGCGGCAGTCCACCGTTTCAGTCCACGATTTCCTTCACTATCAATGCTGCTGGGGGAAAAGAAAAAAAATTGGCATAGAGAGCCAATTGGATTGTTGGTGATTAAACTGGCCTTTTTTATTTATGAATGTGTTCCTCACCGCGTTCGCGAAGAGAGTGGCGCAACGGTGCTGTACCTCGCACGAAACAGCCAGGAACTCGTACTAACATCTGCTTCAAGCAAGCGCAGTCGACTCCCCATTATACGGGGAGGGGGGGGCGGTAATGGGGAGAAAGGGTCTAAAACAAAAACACTGACAATGCCACGCACACGGCAATTTATTAGGCCGCACAACACGAATCTCTTACGCGCAGACAATGAGGACAACGATGTAGAAGATCTGTTTGTATCGTTTACTAAAGTAACGGTGAACGGGTTAACGGGTTAACGGGTGGGCGGTCGCGTCGGCCACGGAGCCGCAAGCGAGGAGCGGCCGATAATCCAACCGTCGCGCGTCACCTGAGGATAGATTTGTTTTAATTTGTTAACTGTACGTGTCTAACATTGTGATGGTTCACTGCGAATGCCTAAAAAGACTTAAAGGCCAAACTTAAGGCAGTCCAAAGCAACAATGCTAGGGGAATGATCGCCAAGTCTGTCTGTTGGGAAGGGTCGTTATTTTTTTGTTTTTGATTAAAATCAAAGGGTGAACAAAGCCCCCTCCCCCCTGCGTGTTATGCCTCGTCTGTGGCTCCTTTGTTGTACTCGACATGGCCCAGGAGTGAAGCTTTCCTGATTTATGAGATGGGGTTTTTTTTCTAACAAGAGTTGGTTTTTCGCCAAATAGACCACGGATCTTTTATTTGTTTAGACAAATAGCGGCCCTTTAAACCGCCCGCCTTAAATCATGGCAGCAATGCAGGCCTCGGCCTGGCGGGAAACGGATTTTCATTGAGGAGAGCCCCAGAGATTTGAAGATTTCTGTGAACAAAAAAATGTATGCTTGGAAATTATTTGGGGACATGAAACTTGGTCTTTAATTAGCAAAAAAAAATGTGAGCGACACTGGCAAATGTTTTATATGCAAACCGATGTTCATAATGTAATATTTTTTTTTCTAGCTGTATATGCAGTGATTAGCCGACCGCACTGTGAACCCGGCAACCCGAGTTGTATTCCCGGTCACAGCTAACCAGTCATCGGTGCCCCCATCATCACCATCCTGCATTTGATCAGCGTGGTGAAGTATGGTCAACAACCCCCACGATTGAAACTGTCATGGGGAAGCCTTCGTCAAGCGGCGAATAAACAAAGGGCCACAAATGATTGTTACCGTCATGCACGTACGCAACGGATGATAATCCATCCAGATTACCGCAAGGGGAATGGGGTATTTGCACACGCAGAGTAACTTGTTTTAGATCACAAGTTGTCTCCAAGTGAGGCGTTGCTTATTCCTGTCAGTGACCATTTCTCCTGCGAGCGCAAGTTGGAAGGAAAATTTTTATTTGGAAATTGGAACTGTCGGTATTTACCCAGGAAAGTCACCCCGAGTCCCAGGACACTCTTTCAGGAGGGTCCTGCCACCACTTTGGGTATTTTTGTTACATGTGTTTGGCCAATTAATGATGATGAATTGTGTTTATTAAACGTATGGCAAGAAAACCCACTCTTCGTGCGAGAGTACAACGCTCTAAACCCCACATACGGATGGAAACGTGGCGATTAGTCCACTTGCCGTACGGCCTCCTCCTGGCCAAACATGGTATGGCACCACTTTCAGGACACCACTTTCTTGGGAAAGTCAACAGTGCTCATTGACTGCAGACTGGCCACCGTCATGGGAATGTGGAATTTCCAACACTGGCTCAGCGCTGATAACCTCATTGCTCGCTGTGGCAGGGAGAGGCGTTTAATTGGACTCCCAGGTCTCCCTTGACAAAGATCATCGCAAATTTCAATCTGCTCGCACGCATGGCTACATTAAGGGTGCTGAACTTAAACGTGCTTCATTAAAAGTGGCGTCTCATAATCCCGTGGTAATTCTGTGTTGCCCTCCCGTGTCTCAGTCGCAAAGAGCACAATAGTTTTCAATTGTAACTTCCTAAAAATGCGAATTTTTTTTAATGTCCCAACAATGATAATAACACCAGCCAGGACAATAGCAGCTGCTCACAATGTAACTCGGATAACCTGGGTCTCCTTTTTAAACCGGACTTCCCCTAGTGAATTAAAGCAAATGTGCATTAATTTGAATTGCATTAAAATTGCATCGTAATGCGCACTGTGTAAAACTATCACTGCTGCAGTTCATAAACGTGGTCGTGAACAAATAAAATGGAACGAAAAGTGTAAAGTCCTCAAAGAAGCGCGGAGAGACGCACTCTTGGGATTACGCTTAGAGAGCGAAAGAGAAAGCGTGTGGATGAGAGAGCGAACGCAGGTTGAAGGACGTAAACGGGGAAGTGGGGCTTGGGCCGGCCGTGCCACTGCCAGAAAGGGACAACAGCCGAGGGTCAAGAATAATCACGGAGTGGCAGCCAAAGAGTGGAACTCTCCCGAGAACGCGTCCACCGAGGGGAGATGGAGCGGCGAGACGAACGCTAGCGTGCCGGTGGCAGTGGGATCATTGCATCGGAGGATCGTGAAAGTTGGCCGCGGCTCGGGCCGGTCTTCATCCAGCAGCGGATTGACCACGGCCCGATGATGATGAACGGCAGGCAACCAATCCCAGCTCTCCATCGCAAAAAGAGCGCGGAAAGGGGCAGTCGCCGGGCTGCGGCACGTTATGTGTTCGCTCGGTCGCCATGGAGACGCGGATTTGAAGCACGCCGGGCCGATCATCCCGGCAAATAGCGGTGCTGTGGGGACGCCGGCTCACCGAGCGACCGTTACCCGGCACTCGGGGGGACGGGGGGGGGTAAGGGGGGTGCGCAGAGCAACTCGAAGTGTCACGCAAATCACCGCGAGCGGGCGAGCCCCAAGCAGTAGCGCCAACGCCAGGGCAACCGCCACTTTGTGAAGAGCAGGAGGAGGACGGTGACCACTTCCCTGTGAATAGGGGAAGGCTTAATGGTGAAATAAAGCTGCCAAAAACAGGCGAGGGTTGGAGTGCTTTTGGAAATCTAAAGTCACAAATGAAAGCATCGTGCAACTGCTCTAAAACCAACGGGATTGTACTCGGTGTGCGCGTGACCCCCGGTATGGAATACAAATCACGAACGCGGAGACGGACGGAGAGAGTGGAGCCAAAGCTGAGAAGTGTGCAAAGCGGCGTAAAGAGATGCGTGCTTGGGACAGACGTCGAGACGACAGGAGGCGGAACACATGGTTGAGAGGACACGTCCAAGTTCGAGTCATTGGACGCATGAACGCTGCGACCGATACAAGTTCAAGTGAACTTGAACACCGTAGCTTTCCAAAAATAACATGATAGTGCATAGCTTACCAACACATGGGGATACAACTCACTGGTTATTTATTAATATATTTAAGGGTTCCATTTTTATTTATACAAAAACCAGCTACTTTTCTATGCATTCGTTTACTTTGCAAATAAATGAGGTTTACATATGATTCTGAAAAATGTTGATAACTCTACCATATTTTTTGTACCGCCCCTGCTGCTGCTGCTGCTGCTGCTGCCACGGCGGCGGCGTAGCGGCGGCGTAGCGGTGGCGTAAGCAAGGCCGTAACCTCTACACAGAACCCCCGGGACTTCACCAACAGGCCCAGGGTGCCCCTTGCTGGCGCGAGCCACGTCGCGCCAGTTTCTGTTGCCAGCGACTCCCTCGCTGCACGTCCAGAGCCCTGCCCCGAGCAACACGCGGCCGCCCACTTCTCGTGCCTCCTCGGTAGAGGACGGCCAACGCAGACGGCGGCATCGTGAACCCGATAATCTCCCCACTCCACACGCCCAATCCACTTAGCCCCGACAAACACCCTAGTTACTGCCAAATTAACTCAACGTGGACTGTATCGGATGGAGGTTTGTTTCCTTCCCAGCGCACGAGCGAGCCCTCGCCGTGGGATTCAAGTGACGAAGAGGAGGAGGAAGAGGAAGAAGCGTCCCCTTGTGGGAACTGCTCCGAGCGTCGCGACGGAACAAGGGCTCCGTGAGACGACGCCACGGAGCGATCGCCGCAGCCGCTTCCACTGGCCTCTCTCACACAGCGCCCATTTATGTTCTGCAAAGGGCAAAGTAGATTGCGCAACCATCGGGTGACATTTATTTACGTTCGTTTTTTTTTCTTTCCCCAGCAGAGCTGGGCAAAGACTACGTGCAACAGACACAGCACGATGGGTTTTGCGCTTTGGTGAACAGGCTGAAACCATCAACTCGCTGCACTTAGAATACGATGAAAACGACAACAACAACAATAATACTACATCACCTGTCCCAGGCAGCCCTCACCGCCAGGCCAAGACTCTTCTCAAGAGGCTCCTGCACTCGGATGTTTGCCCAATTCCATCAGCGGGCACTTTGCATGCGGAAGGCTAAAAACCCGTGCGTAGGCGGAGATCACACAGGTACGCACAACCAGGTTCATCAACCCACTTGCTGTACTGCCAGTGTGTTACCACCTGCCAGGCCCAGTGGGTTTGGGGGTTTCACAGATCTGTGTTCCACCAACCCTCGCCTCCAGAGTGCTGGATTAGCCACGTGCGAGCCATCCCACAAATGACCTCCCCCTGCAAGTGGGGTCACGCACGACGGTAATTATCATTGGTCATCGCGAACACGGGCAGAATTAGCGAGGGTCATTAACTCAGCCACCCATTAACTCAGCCACCCAGGAGTCTTCCTGCTCAAACCAGCAGCGTGTGGCAGTGCTCGCACCCGATGTGAAGATAGCGTACACGTGTGTGTGTGTGTGCGCGTACAGGTCGGCTCAGTCTCAAATGAGTACCTGGTGCGGTGTGTAAACATCGCCACGAGGGAGATAAAGGCGGCCAGGGGTGGTGCTGGCCACTCACCCCCCCTCGTATGCCGTGTTGGCCTTCATCGGTGCTCGCTAACAGATACGGGGGTTCGTTGTCTGCGCACAGTGACAGATGTTTTGTACAGAGGAGAGATGAGAGAGAGAGCGACGTGGATGAGTGGAACAGGTGAGATCACGTGGGAGAGAAATGCACGAGATGTGTGATTATGTGACAGAGAAGTTCAACAGACGGTGTGAGTTCAGAGATGTTGCAGAGATGTGTAACGGATGGCGTCAAAGTGCGAGCGCAATGAGATACCGAGTGATATGAGTTTCACGAGAGGCAAGCGTGAGATCTACGAAATGTGATGTTTACGATTTGCACGCCATGATCGCGAGAGATGCGAATAAGCGGGCAAGAGATCAGAGAGGGCCACGTGTGCAAGAGAGGCGCCGGAGAAACTTGCCGGACGAGCACGGGAACAAGAGGCAACGAAATCAAGAAAGAGGCAACGAATCGCACAAACCGACAGCACTCAGCAACAAACCCCCGGCGAACGAGGGGCATGGAGCCACGGAGTCGTGCGGGTGCAGGTTCGTTACCTGGACGAGCAGCTCCAACTTGCGGGCGTCCAAGAGATGGATTTGGCAGCGCCGGCCCTCCGCCATCTGTTCGCAAGAAACACGCCACGGATTAGCGACGCCGGGGGAGCTGCCGCGATGACGGGCGAGCGAGCGAGCGTCCTCACGGGAGACGACGCACGGAGCTCCGGGCAAGCGGCCCACGGCGCAGCGCCGGGAGACCCACCATTTCCGACTCGGCGGTTGGAAGAGCGACATTTAAATCACGCTGCGAGTTCCAGGTCCCGCGTCCGCCGTCGGCGATTAGTGCGAAGGCGCCGGAAGCGTGGCCGTGCGAGGGGAGCCGCCTCGTCCCCGCGAGGTCGCGCGTTGGCTCGCGGCGGCGGCGGCGCGGGTGTCCATCGCGCCCCGCTGGGGCCACGGGCACGGAGCAGCGGACCGCGGAGCAGCTCCAGCCACGGCCGTTTAACTTTTTAGTTTTTTTCTCCCCTTCCCCTCCTCCTCCTCCCAAACACAACAGTGAGTTAAGCACCCATTGGTCTGTTCGTCCAAACACAGCTGAGACCGGCAACTGTGCCATTGGCTCGTAAGGTAGGGGGGTCGGGTGGCCGGGTGAGCGAGTGTGGGGGGTGGTGGTGGGAGGGAGGCCGAGTTGCGTTCGTGTTGAGTTTTCGGTCGTGGTGCTGGCGGTGGCGAGTCTCCGGTGCGGTGTGTAAACATCGCCACTGGGGAGACAAAGGCGGCCGGGCGTGGTGCTGGCCACCCATCCAACTCATGTGCCGTGCCGGCCTTCATAAGTGCTCGCCGACAGAATTTGCCCCAACAGCCTGTGAAGGCTACACAGGGAGATTGTCTTTGTCTGGTAGGGTGAAGCAGCAGTGCGTGCTTGGTTGGGTGTATCCGTGTGCCCGAGCGCACGCGAATGTTCCGGCGCGTGTACCACATCCCACGACGTCAGCCAGACGAGTTCAACTCCTGTCTGTGCACAGCGACACGGCAGGCGGCACGCCTCCATCTGTCCAGGGCCTCTCCTCGGGGCAAACAAAAGCCCTTCATAATAAACACGCGCAGAGCCGAGCGGGCGACGTGTAAACGTCGGCGCCGGGGAGACAAAGACGTCCAGGCAAGTGACTCTCTGGCCACGCCAGTCTCGTTCGGCGTGCCGGCTCGCAGGATGCGTCCCCCAAGGTGCGAGGGTGGAACGGGAGAGCCGTGCGCTCGTGCGCACGGCTCTAGGCGGGGACGCCCGGCGGCTGGGGAGCTCGTGCACAGGAAACCCGCGGGCGCGCACCCCGAGCAGCGGCGGCGGTGGCAGCGGCAGCAGCAGCAGCGGCAGCAGCAGTTTGCAATTAAAGTCTGGGGCTGAGCTCGCTGCGAATGCCGCCCCCCCACTACCCCCTCCCCCCGCGCTTCGCCCACAAGGCAGCCCCCAAGCCACGGGGCGGCTGCTAAAGCTGTTGTCAAACAGCACCGACACTTCGTTTATCTCCTAGACCGTTGCGGTTTGTTTTTTGAACATTATTGTGGCGTTGCGAGCACGAAAATAAAAAGGTGAACACGCACGCGTGACGTTCATTGTGCCAACAGAGCCGCACTGCCACGCTGGCAAAAAGAGGAATCAATCCCGAGGTGTTGACCGGCTTCCTTCACGACTCCACCTGACACACAAATTGAAAGTGTAGAGGGATAGAAGCATGTTCAGTCCAACTCCCCTCCCTCGTCACACTCTCTCGGCACGCTCAGTCGACACCTTTAAACTCCCAACGCTTCGTTCACGCGGAGTTGTAAATCGTGCTTTAGAGAGTGAACGCCATGCCGTTTACAACTGGGAGGTCGATTGGATTTGTTTATTTCTAGAAAGTTTTTTAAGGGTCCATCATCTTCGAGGTGGCGGCTCAGGGGACTGACAATGTCCACGCCGGAGCACCGCTGAGATCCTGGGTTAGAATGTCGCTGCCACTCCCCCGTGACGGCAGCCAGCTCTCTAGCACCGTGCGCAGACCACTGCGCCACCACTCCCCTCATATAAACATGCAAGACAAAGATCCCCCATATAGCCTTCACAGACTGTTGGGTTGGGGGCCCAGGACCAATTCAGATAATCGTCACTGCTGGCCATACATGCACGTACACACACAGGTCACACACGCAGGTCACACACGCACAGTATATGACAACACACCAACAAACACCCGTCGTCTTCGCATTGCGTGAGGATTAACGGGAGCGTGTTCTGCAGGTGGCTGACATCTAAACAAACATTACACGTGGATCTGCTTTCGTTGCGGATCTCAATGTCAACATTTCAAGCGGATAACCCACAAGCGCCTGGGAGCACGGTACCCGGAGGCTCGGCTGTACTGTCGCTGTCGGAAAACACAACCCCGAGGAGCACTGACAGCAGCGCCCTGGGTGCTCACCGATTCACGACAACACGAGGGCCACGCACGGCATTTCAGACCACGCCGTGGACTACCACGGCACCGCACATTGGCGTCGCTTCATTCCTCCTGCCAGATCCAAGTATTCTTCTTCCGTGGTTGGCACCTCACCTCCCAGGTTTGTGTCTCACGCGGTCTCGTCACAAAAATGTAACTATAAACTAAACTACTTTTATGTTACCAGGTAAGGCCCACTGAGCTATATAACTTTTTGTCAGAGGCGACCTGGCCACAAATAACACCTCAACGAAGTGGCTTATCACGTGGACATTTCTGTCAGCCAAATCCTCTAAACACCACCCTAGTCAACTCGCTCGCTTGGTGCCCGGGTGCCACTCCAATAGCAGTCTAGGTCACCCGCCATGTGGTCCCCCTATGGCAATGTTAACGAGCTGTCATTTTCTTCCATGCTCAAAATAAACAAATTTTGGCCGGTTTCTCATCTCCATCTGCGTTGAAACGCCAGTGGTGGAAATTCCACATTGCTATGGCTGGGTCCAATTCTTCACATAACCACTGCGGACTTCCCACAAAGCGGTACCCCCCCCCCCCCCACCCCGATGCTGTGGTCCAAAGCGCAAGCTCAGAAGTCCGTGCCGAGTGCCATCCCGTGCCCCGGAGGCCTCCGGCGTGGCCCCATTGTGTTACAGGCCAGCTCAGCCCTGGGCTGCCACTTAAGTCCCAACGCAGGCCACCTGTCCCCCCCCCCCATACACGCAGGCACATCTGTCGCCCACGCTGATAATCGGGAATAGAGTCCAAATGATGTGTTGACACAATTGGCCGTTTTACCACTGTACCATCAATCCCGTGAGATTATCACCGGATTAATAGGGGCGATGGGTTGTGCAAATATGTCTTGAGGTTTGTTTTAGATTTCTGATAAGAATTCAAATTGTCTCCCCCACTCAAACAAGCGCAAATCAGTGGTCAACTACCATGGCAGCCTTGGACCGGGCCATTCCACGTTCTCATGGCAGGATTTGTGCCTACATAGGATGACCACGAGTGGGTGAATTGGCACCATTGAGAAAAGCCAATTAAGTCAGACATCAACGATTTAGTTGGCTTGTTTGTAATGCCTAACTTGTACTGTCTGTCTTGTGAGTTCTATATAGTTTAGTTTGTCATTCGTTTTCCTAGAAATAGAGATACAAACACTTCTCATCTTTGTGTGAATTGTACACTTTGAAAACAACGGATTATTAAGCCGATGAGGCTATGCATGCAACATTAGTGTAACAGGAGATTTTATTCACTTTGTTGATAAATCACCAAAACAAATGCATTTGCTTCATTATTTACGATGGCGCTGCTGTGTTACACTCGACGGATCTTGCCTGTCAGTTGGGGGCATGCTGCTCTGGGATTTTACTTAATTAAGTCATTTGCGAGTATTTATTTTCAAAGTTGGACCAGAACACCGGCTGCAATGGCTTCCTATTTTCCGAATAACACCACAGGATCTTTAACATCCATTCCGCAGCAGACGGCGTGTCCTTGTCTGGTTAATACGCCTTTGGTATTAACCAGGGTGACCACCGGAAATGAACCGCTAACTTCGACAACGAGCGGCACTCGAATCCGCCAGCGCCGACTTTTTACATTTCACGCAGCAGCTGGCGAGCGACTGCAGCTGGAATCCACGCGGGCAGCTCTGGGGTGCGATCGCTCGACTCGCCGCTAACCGTGGACGTGTGCCCGGCCACGCGGCGGGCAGCCGGGCGCCGGCGAGCGGACGGGACGGCAGAACACCACGCTGGATTCACCACTTGTCCTGTGTTGTAAAGCTAAAAGCAGCGAGCGTCTCGTTGTCCTCCGCACCTCCGATTAGCACGTACGGTGCGGAAGAAGTTCGACCGACATACATAGTGGAGGGAGAGCCAGGCGACCATGCGCTGAGCTGGGAGACGGCTCCGGCTCAGACAGCCGCGCGTCTGTAAACACGCGCGGTGCAAACACACCGACTGCATGCAGCTGCCCGAGCCGGTTTGGAGAGTAAATACTCAGATCTGCCACGAGGTAGCCTATGGGCACTGGCTCTCTGCATTGGGATGAAGGGACCCCCCCTCCCTGTGTTTGTGACACGGTCGTTGAGCCAGAACCTCCAAGCCCCTGGTTTAAAGTCCTACACCCGGATCCTCTCACAAGAGGACCGGTGCCTGCGTTACGAGCTCCAGTGTTCAATCCCAGGTCACAGGTGTCCCCATCATGTAGCTGTTACCCAGAGTTAGGTCATGGGACCTGCACCTGTGATGCCCTGGGTTGAAGTCCAGTGGTGGGGTAGCTCTTCATCAAAGAGCTAACGTGATTGCAATGAACCAGAGTAAATTTCGATTTAAAGCTTTCGTGACTGCAGGGATTAATCTTCTTGGTTCTTTCGGTAAAGTCACGTAGTAGGGAAGTAATATTATTATGTTTTATTTTTATTATTTTATTACTTCCCTACTACGTGACTTTACCGAAAGATCCAAGAAGATGAACCAGAGTAAATTAGGCCATGTGTTCTTCCCCCTCCTTGTCACGCGGCGTCTTTCTCTTGAGGATGATATCCATATCACGGCACCAAGCCCGAGTCTGTGAGTTCCTGAGTCGACATCACATTATGCTTGTGTTTAGGTGATGAACCAGCACCCCTGAGTTCAAAGCCTGGGGTCTTTGTCAGGGGGACAGATAATGCCCCAATCAGTGGCCCCCTCCTCCCCTCTGCTCAGCCTCCGTCCACGGGATGCGGCCGTCACGCGCCCGACGGATCCACGCCACGCTGGAGTCGGAGTTGACTCCCAGCTTCAGTAAACGTGGCGGTGGCGCTCAACTTGGCCCGGCTGCCAGCGGCGTAACGCCGCGACGGTGTCTCCGCGCCGGAAGGGCGCCGCGCGCGCCGCCCGCAAAGCGGCACTCGATTCGCCAACACCGCAAGGGCGACGAGCCGAGTCGACGCCCGACCGCGACTTCGACTCGTAACGCGGTGGCGGACAGCCACGAGCCAGGAACCCCCCGGCTATGTCGGGACAGAC